CCCCCCGCCCTCCGCGCCGCCCCTCTCCCCCCTTTACCACCCCAGCATTGCTAGATGCTGCCGGGAGGCCCCACCCATCGGTCTCCCCTCGTCTCCTCCCGAGCTCCGTTTCTAACACATACACACTCAGAGGTTGCTTTCCCAGCCTCAGACCCGAGCCAGCCTTTTTTTTTACTCGCCGTCTCCTCAGACTCCCTCCCAGAGCCCCCTCCCCATGCCTAGATCGCTTCCCTCATGTATCCGCAATCATCCCTTGAACCCCCTTTTCAGTACCCCAAAGCTGTCCACTCTCACACCTATTCCAGGAACTCGCGCCTCCCTCCCCTCGGTCTTACTTTGGCTTGTAATATCCCACTCAGGACCTTCTTTCCTGTATTTTTTTCTCTGGATCATTTGGTTTATTTTTTCTGAAGCAAATATACTCAATTCAAATATAGGAACAAAGGCCTAAGTACTTTCTGTGCTTATTTCTGGGATGATTGATTTTAGATCATATCATTTAATAGCGCTTAGTGTAATACCTATCGCATAGGAAAAGGGTGATACTTTTTAGCAGCTCTTAATCCTGAAACAAGACCCTCTTCCTATGCCCCCATCACAAGCATCGTCACGTAGGTACCCTCATCCTGCCGTATTCTGAGTCCTTTCAGATGTCTCTCTACCTTTCAAGGTTGTAATAAAAATTAAACAGTACAATGTGTGTAAAGTACCTGGCATAGTGCCTGACAAAGGACGCCTATTGCAACTTCTGACTTCTAACTAAAGAAACTCAGCACTCCTTCCCAACCCCCTGTACACCTTCAGCCATTTCAGTCTCCATATCCTGATACACCTTTGAGTTTAGCCAGTATGTCCTTCCTCTGCTCTGTCACCTATATGCACTTTTTTATGTTACTAGCCACCCATACAAGTCCCTAGTCTTTTCCTCAACTAGAATGTCTTTACACCCTTGCTCTCAACTGCTCTATTCCAGTTTGTGAGACATGACTTTGTTGTTGGTAGGTGTCAGCGAGTGGGCTCCAGCTCATAGCGACCCTATGTGCAACCAAGCGAAACCCTGCCTTGAACCCCTTGAACTTGAACATGACGTAGATGCTATAAATCTCCTTTAGTAGTCATCTTACAGATGTGAGGTTCTCATCAATTTCACAGGGTCCCCTCTCCCCAACCTGAAGAGATTGCTACCCTGTTAGTCCCCTGGGCAAGAAAAAGACCATTACAGTCTTCTTCCCTGCTAGCTCACTTGCTTCATATAATCCCCTTCCCAACAAAGGTCACTGTGTGGTTATGGAATTAGTTTTTTAGTGGGGTTGATTATGTCTTCCTAGTTACTAAAAAATCTTCATTTAGCATTCCGCGTAGTACCTGGGAATCTCGGAGGTGGGGAGTGAATGAATTGCCATGTGGGAGGAAATGAGTAAATGGGATGTGGCTTTTCCAGGGTGACATCTGATGCCATTGGGATCTCTGATTTTTTTCCTCATCGCTCTACCCTCCTCCTGAGGAAACAATGCCCCTTTGATAATAATTTGCTTTCTGCCTGCCTGACAAGTACTCAGCTAAGGTTTCTCAGCCAACAAGACAATGCAAACATTTGTGGTACCAAGCACCACTTTCTCGAACCCTGGCCTCATTGAGGTGATAACAACTGTCCTGCTCAAGGGATTCCCCTTTGTCTCCCCTCCCTCACCTCCTCTTTGGTGTTATACAGGGATATCATGTCCATTTATAAGGAGCCTCCTCCAGGAATGTTCGTTGTACCTGATACTGTTGACATGACTAAGGTATGTAACTTGGTGGGGGTCGGGGGTTATTGGGAAGTTGGGCTCATAAACTTGGAAGAGCCCCCAAAGAGATTATTCAGCTCACCTCTCTGATTATATAGACGAAGAAATCAAGACCCTCAAGAGGGTAAGTGGCTTCCCCAAGGTCACAGTGAGGCAGAGCAGAGGCTTGAACAAGACCCCAGGTGTCTGTTGTTAGGGTGCCTGTAGGTCTGGTTGGCTTGGAAGATCCCAATTTATGCCTGTTATCTCCACATAATTATTAATAAGGTACTTTTTCACTCCCAAAAGTACTCCAATTTGGATGATGAATTGTATGGCCACGATATCCATTGTACCATCCAGCTCTTTCCCCACTCCCCCACCTAGCCGCTCTTGACCTTTAAGTATGGTGCTATAAATCAGATGCAGGGAAGGTTGGGGATGAGGCCAAGCTTGTCTGAACAGTGTTTGCAGTTAAAGGGCCTTGTTTAGGCTCCTATCCTTAACTGGTTGCTTTTGAATATCCTTCTAACCCGAAGACCATTTCTCTCTTGTCCTCCACACAAACACAGAGAAAGCTTAGTACATGATGTCAAATTCCTCTGGCATAGATACCAGGCTTCTTTGTCATTGAGTGCTCTATCCTCAGAAGTGAATTTGCGCTTAAACTGGTGTTGAGAAGAAATCAGATTTCTTTAATCTAGTGTTGTTTAAATGAAAACTCCCTGAAGTTCCAATTTCTTAGAATAAATACTCAGATTTTGTATTGTTGGTGTGTCTTAGTTGTTTTGAATAGACTTCCCTTTAAATTGATTTTTTTTAAATCTTTTTTTATATAGTTGGAAATGTTTTTCTGGGATATTTTGTCCTCAGTTAAGTGCCAGTGTTAATATGACAGTCTTTGGGGTCCCAGAACTGATGCCCGGTTGAGACCAGCTGAACTTGCTATTCCAAATGTCTGAGGGTGAGAATATAATGTAGGGTACTGCCAGGACAAGGTAGGGACTATAGACTGGGGCATTGGACCCCAGTGTCCTTTTTCTTCTTGCTGTTCAACTTCTGAACAGACTTAAAGTGCCTAGGAGCCTTTTTGTAAGAAGAAATGCAACTGATTCAGTTTAGATTTTTCTTCCTTTGGGAAGGGAAATCTTAAATACTGTTCAATAAATTATGGCCGGAGGAAGAGAGTTTAGTGTTCTGTTTTAAGGACTGATTTTTTTTTTTTTTTTTTTTTTAAAGCAGCAGCATTGGGGAAAGTTCAGGGGATGGTCTAATGGCTCTGAGTACACCCTGAGTTTTCCCCACTTTTGTATTTTTGACACCACTGAATACTGCCTGAGCCCCATCCTTAGACTTCTCCACAGTAGGTTTGATCCTCTGGGGAGAAAGCAGACATCCTACACATCCATCACAACTCTCAGCCCTGCACTGTTACTGGCGCTATGGCCTTCAGTCCCTTTCCTCTTTTTTCCATTCATCTTGCCTCCCCCTTCGTGCCACATGAATGTAGGGTGGAGTTACATACTATGCAAGTCTAACCTAGGCAAATTCAAACATACATTTTTAGTAAAAATATGAATTTCTTGGAATTAAAAATCCTAGAATTATATTTTAAGATATATGCTGTACTATATTTTGCACATTGGTGTTCTATCCATTTGTTATACATAACACTGAACAAGGAGATCTGCATAAAAACTGCTTTAAGGGGGTTTTTAAAGGGATATGCAAGGGTAATTTTGCCTGGATTCCATTTTTACCTTGGCCTCTAACTTTAGAATGTAACCACTGAGTAAGATGGTACTCCACTGAAATGGAATTTATTAAAATTCCAAACATGCTTTTTAGTATGAGTGAGGAAAAGGATGTTCGTTCTGCATAGTGAGGTTATGGAATATGGATATCAGACCGTGGGCGCTGTTCTGGTGTGGGTAGCAGGTTGAAGCCAGGAGGGGTTGGGGTGGGACATCACCTCACAATTTTGAGATGGGGTTTTATTTTGCAGATTCATGCATTGATCACAGGCCCATTTGACACTCCTTATGAAGGGGGTTTCTTCCTGTTCGTGTTTCGGTGTCCGCCCGACTATCCCATCCACCCACCTCGGGTCAAACTGATGACAACGGGCAATAACACAGTGAGGTTTAACCCCAACTTCTACCGCAATGGGAAAGTCTGCTTGAGTATTCTAGGGTAAGAGGAGACTTCTAAGTGGCCAAGTTGGTTGTTAGCAAAAAATTACTCTAGGCCAGCCTTTATCAACCAGGGTTCCTCACTGAACCACAGAACACAGAAAATGATCAGTGACTATCTTCTCTATTCTCCCCAGGATGGTACACAGCTAGTATCATTCTAGACGCAAAAGAAAGAAGTAAATTCATTACTTATAATGAATGCCTTAAGAAAGTGGTTCTCAAAGCGAAGAATTTACAGAGATACAGATTCCACCCTAAACCTAATCCAAGCCAAACCAAACCCAGTCTACTGCCATCTAGTCGATCCCAACTCAGTGACCCTATAGGACAGAGTAGAACTGCCCCATAAGGTTTACAAGGCTGTAAATCTTCACAGAAACAGACTACCACATCTTTCTTCCAAGGAGTGGGTGGTGGGTTCCAACCGCTGACCTTTCGGTTGGCAGCCAAGCACTTTAACCACTGTGCCACCAGGGCTCTTGTACCCTAGACCTACTGACTCTGAAACTCTGGGGGTGGACCCAGTAATCTGTGGTTTTTTCAGGCCCTCCCGGTGATTCTAGTGCTTACCCAAGTTTGAGAACTGCTCCCTTAGGGCATTAGGGCTTAATTCTGTCCAGAACAGGTTGAGAAAGGCTGCATCTGTGCCATTCAGGATTGTGAGTGTCTTCTTTCTGAGTCTCAATGAGTGGCTTTAGAGGTGGTGGTGATGATAATGACTGTGATATTTTAACAAATGAATGAAAAATACCTAACACTGAAAATCCCATGTGTGAAACACAGAAGTTTTGAGTACATCTTGTTTCTTGGTGCTGCTGTGATTTTGCTTTGTGAAGTTCCCATCTATTCCCTCTTAATTGCCTCTGGGGGTTAACAATTCAGAATGGGAATGCTTTCTAGCATATTCTGGGTTGGTCTTTTTAGTGTGTCTGAATTTTCCTGGGGTGAAGAACAACACGTGCAGTTGAAGTTGAGAAAGTTGCCTAAACTGGTAATACTGCTTCCTCCCGTCCAACACATTTCCAGGTTTGTGTGGGGAAAAGGCAGCTGAAACAAACTGGAGACACAGCTCAGTGTTTTAGAACTCTTAGATCCAGGGATATGTTCTGTGATTGTGGCAGTCAGGAAGTCCTTAAAGAAGGTTGTCTTAGAGAAGTCCTTCACTTCATTAGGGTACATAATTGTCTGCTGGTAGGATAGAGGTAGGAGCCTTGGTGGCACATGGTTAGGAGCTGCGGCTGTTAACCAAAAAGTCGGCAGTTCGAATCCACCAGTCCCTCTTTGGAAACCCTGTGGGGCAGTTCTACTCTGTCCTGTAGGGGCGCCATGAGTCCGAATCGATTCAACGGCAACAGAGGGGGCGGAGGTTAATGGTATATATGATTCATAGTATGTATGTTATCCACAGAGGTAAGAAAATTTAGGCATTGCTTCTCTATGAAATTTGTTTTTTGTTTATGAAAGTGTTTCTGTAGTAAGTTCTCCCTTGTTAGGCTGATATAAAATTACTTTGAGCAGACACCAACTCACAGTGGGAAGAGGAGAAATAAGATGGTGGGGTAAAGGTGACCAGAAGTGTGTTGGGTGGAAGAGGAGAAACTACTCTGAAATTGAATATTTTCCATGAAGAATCACAAAGTGGAAAATTCCCACGTGTTCTTAGTTGACTGTATTAGCTTTATCAGCCTCTCTCCTTCCCCGCCCCCACCTAGAAAAAAAACTATTAGGCTAACTTACTGACAAAATAAATCTAATAAGAGTTTACCCTGTTGACTGGAATACCTGAATATGTGGAACATTATAGAGAGTAAAGTCTAGAGTTCCTGGGGGAGCAGAGCTGAGAAGAGAGCAGGTTGAGAGGCACTTACGAGCAAGCTCTGATGAAGTTACGGTAATGCATCACTTACTTGGGATTTCCCCAAGTACAGCCCGGAAAGGGAACTGGTCACTTAACTTGAACAAGCCTGTCCTGGTTCAGGTGTGTTCAGCTTCCAGCTCAGGTGCCATCTCTTCAGTTAATTGAGCTAAAAGTAAATACCATTAATATTCATGTTCTCTACCCTCCAATACTTGATCAGGTTTATGAGAGAGGAGTCATTTTGGTATTTCTCTTTGTGTTCAAGATGTTTTCCATGTATTATTTTCAGACCCTCCACAGTCTGGAAGTTCCTGTTATTCTTTTCCTGTCTTTTGGCAGAGCTCTCGAGTCTTCAGAGAATTGAACACTTCTTGAGGTCCTGATTTAGAACTGAATGCCTGATCATCAACCTCACCACATGGCCTCTACCCAGAGGCTTCAGTCACTTGTGTGCTTCTATGCTCAACTTCTTTTTTGCCTCACTAACTTCATCACCATGCATAAAAATCTGTTTGAGGTTCACAGAGGTTAAAGTTAAGAATGCCTTAGGAGCTGTTTTCTTAACCTTATTTCGTTCATTTTAGTTATGGTGACCTTCCCTAGCCACTGTTATTTTTCTAGCCCAAGGAAAAGCCCTTCAAAGTTATCTCCCTTGCCTTATCCTCTTGTTTTGTCCTACTTCTTGATACGAGGATTAGGCAGTTGACTGACTTCTGGTGAATGAGGGTGAGACAGAGGCTGGGAAATTTCAGAGCATTAATATTGAAAGAAACGTTGAGTCACTTACGGTGGTGTTGCTGGGCTCCAGAGTACTTGTGTACTGGGCTTTCTAAAGTATCCTTCCCGTCTTTCCCGCCTCACTTTCTTCCCTTCCCTGTGACATGTTTTGCAGTACGTGGACTGGCCCTGCCTGGAGCCCAGCCCAGAGCATCTCTTCTGTGCTCATCTCCATCCAGTCCCTGATGACTGAGAACCCCTATCACAATGAGCCTGGCTTTGAACAGGTAAGGCCAGGTGGGTCCAACTGTGAGGTGTTGAGTATTGATTCTTAAGAGACCTGAGAAGTCTGCTTGAGAGAGGTTTTTGTTTTTGTTTTTGTTTTTGTTTTTTGGCGGGGGGGCGGGGGAGGCTGGTTAGATGCATGAGACTGGTCTGTAACCCCTTGGATTGCAGTTGTTGCTGTAAGAGAAAAAAGAAGCTGGCATATGTTTTCCTTTATAGAGAGAGAGACTTATTTCCATCTAACTTGGATTAATCTACAATGTAGAGTCAGTGGAATCATTTGGAAATTAATTCGGAGCCTGCTTTGGGAGCTTTTGCAAAAAGTGGGTTCTTCATATGCCTCCATTCTCCAGTATCCCCTGAAGGTGCTCCCTAATGACTGCTGCCGAGCCAGCTGTTCTGGGGTTTTAAGGTACCATCACCTGCAGAGCCAAAAGTGGCTTGTCCTTAGCCAGGGCAAGAATATTTTAGTCACCCCTGCTGAAGAAAAGGCGGAGGAGATGAAAACTTTGAATGGCATGCTGTATGCCAGACACTGTGAAGTGTTTCATATATAATTTCTCATTTAATCTTCTCACTGCTTCTGTGAATAAGCGTTATCCTCTTTTTCAAGTGAGGCAACTAAAGATCAGGTAGGTTAATTAACTTTCACAAGAACACAGAGATAAGGAAGGGTAGGATCCAGGATTTGTGCTAAAGACCGTGATTCCAAAGGCCAAGCTTTCCACTGTTCCAAAGCGCCTCCCTGAGCTACTCATGAACACAGGAAAAAAGTTCTAGTGATAGTCCTAAAAGATAATAACTCAAGGTAAGTGATTAAAACAGTATAATTTATTATTAAGCTACTGAGGTAACACTAATGTTGATTGTTCTTCTGTAAACCTGAACAGGGGAGAGTTTAAAAATAAAAAATTCATCCCTCAACTCTCCTTCCCACACAAATAGTATGTCTGATTTCAGGAGTAGGTAATAACGGAAGTGGACCTTACTGGCTAAGCAAGGAGCTGAGGTTTAGGTCTTTCCTTGTTTAGAAGTTTAAGAGATGTGACTTGAGGGTTTGGGGGGTCTTTTCTGAATACTCCCAAATGTTCCTGGTTCACAGCACCCTTAGTGTCTCATACAGTTTCTCAGGCTAAGAGAAATACCTCACTGTTGCATTTATTAAATAGTTAGGTCCAAACAACTTATTTTTTTTTCTTAAATAACGACGATTTTTTACTAATGGGATGTGTACCCCTGTTGGGTATTGCACAGCGTGGAATCAGATTGGACCCCACCACCCTCATTTCTCATTCCATGCAAATTTTCATACACTCCTTGCTTTTTATCACAGCAATGGCTGAAAATTCATTTTCACAAAAACATCATCAAAAGGAATACAGTGCAGTTTAACATTAAAACTGAGAACTAGGTCAGGCTAATAGTTTGCACGGTGTTCAACAGATGTTGGATATTTCTCAAGTTTAAAATAATCATACAATGCCCCTGTGATATCGTTTGGAAACTATGGTAGGAGGTTGAAGCTATACATCTCTTTCCTGTTCAGCATTACATTTTTATCAGACTTGTTAGCTGCTCTGGAATCATCATCTGGTAACCTCATGCACAATGGAATAAAACGCTGCCTGGTCCTGCACCATCCCCGTGATCTGTTGGGGATTGAACTGTTGTGATCTGTAGGGTTTACATTGGCTGATTTTCGGACGTAGATTGCCAAGCTTTTCTTCCTAGTCCATCTAGTTGAGTCATTAACGGCAGGGCCCTTAGACACGTAAAGGAGTTAATCAGGGAGGCATCCTTTACTTCTTGTCTAAACCCTCTAGACTGAGTCTCCTACCATCATTTATACCCTTTTCACCATCATCCTGAAAAGTGGGATCAAATTATATTAGTTGTCTTCTACTTAATTCTTTGCTGACAGGCCTTTCATTTCAGGTTCAGGAAAATTGGATGGATCTGGTTTTCTGGTTTTAGGTCAAATGACCTGTAAAAGAAAGATGGGTATTGGTATATATGGGGGAAGGTGAATTGTCTCAGAAATAGAGGTATTGCTCTTCATGGATCTGCCATGCAGTGGGAAAGTATTATCTTCTTAGTTCATTTGCTTGGCTCCTGGGACACACCCCATACCAGTCTTTAAATCTCTTCCCGTTGGCATTTTTCTTTTGCCTAAACTTTGCACTTGGATACTATGGTGTCTGTTACGTTACAGGAGAGACATCCAGGAGACAGCAAAAACTACAATGAATGTATTCGGCACGAGACCATCAGAGTGGCCGTCTGTGACATGATGGAAGGAAAATGTCCCTGCCCTGAACCCCTACGGTATGTGTCAAGAAGTCCCCGTGTGATATTCCTTTTGGAGATTCAGCTGGTTTGCACCTTTGAGGAGGCACCCTGGTGGCACAGTGGTTAAGCACTTGGCTGCTAACCAAAAAGATAGGCAGTCTGAACCCACCAGTCGCTCCATGGGAGAAAGGTGTGGCAGTCTGCTTCTGTTAAGATTACATTCTTGGGAACCCTATGGGGCAGTTCTACTTTGTCCTATAGGATTGTTACGAGTCGGAATTGACTTGACAGAATGGGTGGCACCTTTGAGGGCCTTTGGGGCAAAGTCCAGTATTGGACACCAGAGGGAGATAGAGAAGCGGGAAAAATGTGGTTCATGCTTTTTAAAGAGCAAGTGTGCTGGGGGTTACTTCTACCAAAGAGGAGGTTGAGAGAGCCTTGTCTCTATCCTTAAGAATGCCAAGCCTGATGGGAAGGATAAAGTTCGTGCCCTCAGGAAGCCCCCAGTGTGATGAAAGCCTGGGCATGTTAAAAACACTTTTTTCAGCCAAATGAAGTGTAGAGCACCTTCATAAAACTCTTAGCACTAAAGTTTATTTTTTAGTGTTACAACTAGATGAACAAAGTCAATTAAAAGCTTCGTAGGAGAATTTTGTGCAAGGTTTGGGGTTAGGAATGGCCTATGGAAAACAAATCAGATTGAGCAAGTGAAGAGTCGAAGTTGGAATTCAACTAATCAGTATTACAACCTGTCTTGTTTTATAATCCCTTAGGTATGAGGAAACTCAATCATGGGTACACAGCTTTTTCTTTTTCCATTTTTCATGAGAAAGCAATTCCGGGCTTTGGAAATCTAGCTGCTTAATTTGGCATTAAGGTTAGGTAGTGAAGGGGTGAGACACCTTCCCTTTTCTGCTTGTTTTCCAGGGGGGTGATGGAGAAGTCCTTCCTGGAGTATTATGACTTCTATGAGGTGGCCTGCAAAGATCGCCTACACCTTCAAGGACAGACTATGCAGGTAATGCAGCCCCTGCTGCTAATCCCAGAGGTCTTGCAGCAGACTAAGTTAGATCTCTTAAGAAGGGTGACATCCGAGTCTCTCATAGAATGTCGGTGCTGAAAGGAACCTGTGTCATTTGAGGAACTGAGGCACAGGGAAGAGTTGGTTCTCATTTCTTGGCATAAACTAGGTACTCAGATGAGTAGCATCTGAACTGTCCTGCTTTTTAGGCTGGAACTCCTTCCCTTTTTGGTCAGTAGTCTTTTCAAACCAAGAATATTCAGCACCCTCAGAATCTTAGGGATTGGAAGAGTCATCTATTGGCATTGGTGAAATCTCATTTCCATCCTAGCCGAGGGGTGCTCACAGAGAAAGAGGGCTTAGGGAAATGATGGGTGTACAGTGTCATATTGAAAAGATTCCTTTTCCAAAGATGGTAACCACTTACTCATCCAGTGTCTATGCTGGGGAAATGTGTTTCCACTTCCAGTAAGCAGGTGGAATTTAGGCTTGATTTAAAGAAGAGATTCTTACTAACCAAAACAGATAAACCCAAATAGATCTGGTTGGTAAGAGAGTGAGAATCCTTCTGTCCTGAGGGAGCAGTTCTTAATGTCTTTTGATTCATTTACTGGTCATGTTGCTTAGAAATGGGAGTGACTTAATAATCGCTAAGGCTCTCTTCAGCTCTTCTTGGGCTGTTTCCCCCACTCACCCAACACCAGCAGCAGTAGGAGATGTCTTGTTTCCTCAGGTGTTGCTTGTAAATGGTAGCCTCCCTTTTCTTCTTTCAAGGCCTTCCCACCCATCTGCCACATTTAAGCTCAAAGATCAAGGCAGGCTCAGGGTGAACTTGTTTCCTGAACCCTTGGTGAGAGTATTATAGAAGATGGTATATGCCCTGGTTAGTTCCCCATCAGGTCTTCTCGTTGCAGGTATCCAGCAGTACGACCAATTTGTGGAGGAACGGTAACTCGTGATGAGGGAAGGCAATGGAAGGGCAGCATCTTGGGAGGAGGGGAGTATGGGAAATGGAGCCAAGGATGAAAAAAGGAAGATTTGGAGGGTTGACAGCTTCAGACTAAGTGTGGAGTTCAGCCTTTGGAGAATTTAACCATCATAAGTGAAAGATGTGAGCTGTGGTTGACTGTGCCTGTGCCTAGCATCCACTGGCACCTTAATCATGAGGCTAATATGTGGGCAGAAATATGGAAGGGAGTGTACGTGAGAGAAGAAAAATCACTGCTAGGGAAAGAGTCTCCGCTAGTTTGAACCCTGGCCACGCTACCTTGCTGCTGTATTCCCCTTGGAGCATTTTATACACTTTTTTTTTTTTTTTTTAATATCCTTTATCTCAACCATAGTTATTTTTGAGACTTTGAGGGCAGTTCACCCTTTCTACGAAGTGTTTGGAGATCTTTGATCTAGAATGATAAGGACTAGGGTCGATGTTTGGTGGCCCTGGAGTGATAACCGGAGACCTTGACAGGAGTGTATGAAGGGTTCCTGGGGAAGAGTACAGGTGCTTATCTGCAAGTCAGAACTCCTGAGTTCTAGACCTGCCTGTGACCTTAGAAAAGCAGATTACTCTTTTTGAGTGTATCAAATAAAGGATAACTTTTCCCTTGTACAGGTTTATGAAATTAATTATAAAACACGGACACTTAATGATTACAGTTCTGGTGTTGAATTTCCCTTCCCTGCCTACCTTCCTTTACAATTTACCCTTCTGCATACTGGTTTGCTTTTAAGGAATAAAAGTACATCTTTATTTTGGCCTAAGCCGGACCTATTTGGGGCGGTAAATGTGCCATAATAATCCTAACTACAAAGATTGTCTCCTGCTGTTAGGGACTGTCTATGCTATCCCCTTCTCTGTTGCCATAGCTCAGAAATGAGCATGCCTGTTCACATGGGCCCAAGCTGCTTTCTCTCGGGTGAGCCACCCAGACGGGAATCTGCCATCCCCCTTGTCTCCTTTTCCCCACAGGACCCTTTTGGAGAGAAGCGGGGCCACTTTGACTACCAGTCCCTCTTGATGCGCCTGGGACTGATTCGTCAGAAAGTGCTGGAGAGGCTCCATAATGAGAACGCCGAAATGGACTCTGATAGCAGCTCGTCTGGGACAGAGACAGACCTGCACGGGAGCCTGAGGGTTTAGACCCTGCTCCTTTCTCCCCTCCCCGCCCACTCAAGAGTCCCAGCAAAGTCCCTTCCCCCCACCCCAGGGATGGAGAGGCACTGTGTATCTCCCTCCAAACGTGACATCATCCTGCAAGATGGCAAGAATCAAGAGAGCTCGGATCCCAGGGTGTGGGAGTGGGGAGGCTGTTCCTCATCTGACCTCCTTGGCTCCAAGCAACTGGGGCCGTGTTCATCCCGTATCAGGGGCCAAGGTACCTATACAGGAGCACCTAGGGCGAGGGCCTCTGGCAAACAAAACAACCAACACACCTCTCCACAGGGCCAGCTCCTTAGGAATAGGTGGAAGACAGAAATTGCAATTCCAAGAGGGAATGTGCCCAAATGGTTTATGGGGATATCTGGAAGGGAGCTTGGGATGGGGGGCTGTCTGTGACACTTAAGCAGTCTGGGTGGTTGTCTGTCTGTCTTTCTTCAGTCTTGAAGCAGGGCTTCCCAATGCCGTTTTCCTCCCTGCCCCCCTCCCCCATCATTTCCCACAGGCCAGCGTAATTTTGTTTTTCCTAATTTATAGTCACTGTTCTAGACAGACCAAAGAGAAGGAACAGTGGTGGCGTCTTGGCTGCTGATCAGTAAGCTTTACCTAGCACCTGAGCACCTTTCTCCCCTGTCCCATTCCTTTACCCTTTTCTAGATTTAAGATAGGATGTAAAAGTGACTGGGACTGAACCAAGGTCTTGGTAAAGCCTGCACAGGCGCCATAAGAAGCTGAAAATACTGTTTGTTCCCGCAATCACTGATTTGAAAAGTTCCCAACACAGGCAGCTGCTGTGTGGATGGGATTAGAGCCACTACATAGAATAGCCTCTTACAGATTTTCATAAATACTAGTCACAGGGCATTTCTCTTGGGGGTAGGGTACAGGGGGGAGACTGATGCTAGTCCTATTGTATTTTGTTTGGCTGTCCTCATGTTTTTTTTCTACCCCAGCCTGTAGTCCCCCTCCTTACTCCAACCCCCAGGGACTTGTGGGGAACAAGGATAGCCAGTGGCAGAAGGGGATTTGGGCTGGGACTCTGGAGACTGCTCCCCTTCTCCCCCCTCACCCTTTTTCCCTTCCAGCTGCTCTTTGTCACTGGCTCTGATGGGTGTTTGCCTGGCTGTGTTGCTTCTCTGTATTTAGCTGCAGTGATCCTTTAGCTGGTTGGCTCAGAAAAATGTGCTTTAGGTGCCCTGTAATACTGGGCATCAAGGGGATCCATTCTTCCCGTTTTTGATGTGTTCTCCCCTGTACTTTCCAGATTCTTATTGTGTTATGGCTCCCAGAGGGGTATTGGTGATCCATGTGACGCAGGGCCTGTCAGTATCCAGCCGCCTGAAGGGGAGAGGATAACTTGTACCTGCCCTGCCCGCTGCTATGAAGGTGTCTGCCTTATGGATCATGGGATCCCCCTGGGGGAAATTGGGGTGGGGGTGGGCACAAAGGAGAATGTCCTACTTGGGAGGGCAGGAAGCAAAGAAACTGGACAGGGAATGGGCCTGGGAAATGGAAGTTTATCTTGGATACCTGAAGGTTGTGTCTCTTCACACACATTCTCAAAAAGGGACCCCGCTTCAAACTTCCCTCTTCCAGTCCCAGAGCTAGTCCAGGGCTTAGAAGGACGCCCTTGGTCTGTAGGTCCAGTGTTGTCTGTCATCCATTTAAGTGTTCCCACTTTCAAGTGACAATCCTCTCCTTGGCGCTGCCACGGGCAGAGCATGTCTGGCATTGTGGCCTGACTTTTACGCCCTAATCTTGAGGAAATATATGCACAGGAGTCAAAGAGATGTCTTTATATCTGACTGTACATAAATGAAGTTTTTTTTTTTCTTTTTGGTGCAATAAAGTTTGTTTTGGCAGAAGGAGGAAGCGCCTGTGGGTGTGGGAGGGTTTGTGTAAGGGAAGAATGGAGTCTTCTCAGATAGTTCTCTCACTTGGGACTGAAACTATCAGGGAGAACAGAAGTGCTCAATGAATTGTCTGGAAGCTGAAAACTTGGGTTATATGGTATGGGAGGAAATAGGATTTGGTGACAAGCTTCTCACCAACTGGGAGGTTGTGGCTCTGGAGAGGAATACCATGTTATCCTCAGTCACTTCCAAGATAATAATGATTCCCAAGTTTGGGGAATGAGCCTGTCCTTAAGGACAGGTAGAGGTGGGCTTAGACTGCTAGGGGAAGGGTGTCTTAAGGATAATCCAAGTCACTGTATTTTCAATTTTCTGGCACCAAAGCAGCCCCCTTGGGAGTTTTGAATTTAGACTATGAAGATTCTGGGAGCCTTAAACTCTGGGCCCCTGGCTCATCACCACTTCCTCTACTTCCTATAGGGGGTTCTTTCTGGCCCAGAGGCTTTTCCTCCTGGCCAACCATGTGTAGAACGACCACAAAGTGTCCTTGCCAGCCTACACTGTGGAAAGCATCGAGAGGGAAATTGTGAGCTCTGGAGTGAGAAGACCTAAGCTCTAGTTTGCTGCTGCCGAAGCTAGTGGCAGCTGGTGAGTTACTTAGATTCCTCATCTAGGAAGTTAAAGATACCTAATTTTTAAGGTAGTTTTAAGGATTAAATGTGTATATAAAGCCTGAGAGTAGGTGTTCAGTAAATGATCCCATTTCTCACCAAGGCCAGAGAGACCTGGTGATCAGTATAGGTGGGAAAGCTGGCAGGAAGTACACAATGTTCACTATTGGTGGATTCCCCTTAAATTCCACTGTTTTTCTTTCCTCCGGTCTAGCCACCATTTACCACTGACTTCTACTTGCTTCATACTCAGCCAAGTCTGTCATCATAACCTGTAGCCTCTACGGAGGAAGCTGCAAGAGACTGAGTAGTATTTACTGCTCCATTAGGGTCTGCTAGTTTGAGATAAGGAACATTTTATAAGAGGCTTGGAGTAGAGGCTATAATTACCGTCCCACGGATACAAAGAGACTAGACCGTCTAGCCAGGAGACAGCCTTCGTCCTAGGCCCAGCTCTAGAGTGGGCCTACCTGTGGTGTAGAACCACAAAAATGTCCTTGCCAGCCTGTACTGTGCAGAGAATGAACTTGTAGCTTGCCTGGGGAAGTCATTTTAGATGTGTTCCCTCCATCTATGTTACTCAGGTTATCCTTACTGGATCAATGAAGTTTTCTCCAATAAAGATGCAATGTGAAGGCACTTAAAAAATTTTTTTTTTTTTTTTTACTAACGGGGGAAGAGAGAAAAACTTGGAACTTTTTTTCTACTTTTTTTTTCTTTTAAACAAAATTGTTCAGATTTTATTCACCAAGAGCTCCTCCCTCTTCTCCCTGCCTGCTGCTGTGCCCCCTTCCACATTCCCATAGTCAGGGGAGGGCTTCTCTGGCCTCCTCAGCTGTAATCTCCTGGGAGTAGAGGTCAGTGAAGAGAGCTGGCAGCCAGTAGTGTGGCTCCTTGGGGGCCTGCAAGTCCAGCCAGGCCAGCCCTTCCTTCAGCAGGTGTTCCTGGAGGGAAAGGCAGGAAGAGGGATTTGAGAAAGGGGAAGAAGTTTCCATAGACAAAACAGGGAAGATAAGCAATCCCCAAACGTATTTTGGTTTCAGTGAGGTTTTCAAACAATCTACCTGAGTGCCTTCACACATTTACACAACCAAACTAGTTCCTTTGCCTGAGGTGTGAAAAACGCCAAATCATTTAATATGTGCTGTATGTTCTTGAGCAAATCACTGATTCCGTCTTCCCTGACGCAAAATGGAGACTGTGGTTCTAGCTATCTTTGATTTCACCTTACCAGGTAACTGGCAGATGTGGGGAAGCCTTTTTGGAGACGTTAACAGGAGGACCGTGTTAGTATGAGACTGCACACACAGCTCCTGGAGCTGGAAATATGCTCAAGCTGGGCTAGTGCTGCCCAGTATCATTAAACATTTATGTTATCCCCATTTTACAGATGAATTAAGTCTAGAGAGTAGAGTAGCATGGATAGGAAAGGAGGTACTGAAGGCCAGGGCTCCTATATTCTCATGCTGTTCCCCTCTTCACAACACGAATCGTTCATTAAACTGCCCCCTGAAAAAAAAAAAACCACTGCTATCGAGTCAATTCCGACTCACAGTGACCCTATAGGACAGAGCTGAACTGCCTGTAGGGTTTCCAAGTCTGTAATCTTGTAAAGATGAAGCAGACTGCCACATCTTTCTCCTATGATGCTGCTGGTGGGCTTGAACCACTGACTTTTCAGTTGGCAGCTGAGCACTTAACCACTGCACCACCAGGGCTCCTACAATCATTAAACCAAAAAGAAAACACCCATTGCCATCGAGTCGATTCCAACTCACAGTGACCCTACAGGACAGAGCAAAACTGCCTTACAGGGTTTCCAAGGCTGTAAATCTTTTACAGAAGCAGACTGCCACATCTTTCTCCTGCAGAATGGCTGGTGGGTTCAAACTGCTGACCTTTTGGTTAACAGCTGAGCGCTTAACCACTCCACCACCAGGGCTCCTCTTGATCTTTCATTAGTACCATGACATCTATGTATATAAAACTACAGAATATGCAATAGTGTATAATTATAGATATGTAATTATCATGATTAGTTAAGTCCCTTCACTCTATACTAATAGTATTACTTCCAGTACAAAGTATACACCTTCTCCTATCAACTATCTTGTTATCTGACATTTTGCATTTATGACAATAGTAAAAAATCTACTATCCAACTAGTCTGCGCATTAACAACGTACATCTGGCAGTAACAAACGCCGAGGTGTGAGGCAAGAGTAATGCTGGCTTTGGTGGTTAAGGTTATGTGTTGGCTTGGCTAGGCCATGATTCTCAGTGGTTTGGTAGTTATGTAATGATATAATTTGGCAGTTATGTAATGATGTAGTCATCCTTCATTTCTGCGTAACACCGATTTCACATAATGACTTGGTCTTTGGAACCTAACCACACTGACAGCTGAGAGGAGGGTGTGTTAACAATCTAGCCAGCAACTCCAGGCTCAACATAGCCAGGAGGGATACCAGGTGATAGAGAGTCCCCAGTAGCAGTGGTGGCCTGTTTTTACATACATGCCAGGATTAGAGGCCTACTTTTGTGAGTTCTGCCTTCTCAGTGCCATCTTGAGAAGAATGCTGGGGTTACTGCTAGTGTGGCAGCGGTAGTGCTGAAGACAAGTAGCCAGCAAAGTGAAGCTGTAGCTCCTGCCTCTGTGGTACCTGTCTACCCACTTCCTCCTCCCATCGCAGGCCCAACTTTTCTGGGCCATTCCAAAGTCACGTACCAGCACTTGCCGCGCTCGCTCCGTCTCCCATTTAAGACTGGCTTTGATTTCACTGACAGTCACGTAGCCATTTTTCTAAAGGGAGGAAGAATAGGGATTGAGACAGTTGAGAGTGTCCTCTTCCTCAGAACCCAGCATCTGCCCAGGGACAATACATTTACCCCGACAGGAGGAGAAACTGCCCTTGGTCTAAGCCTAAGAGAACACAGAAAAAGAATGTTTAGAGGTCCCAGTAAAGATAGAGAGGTGACCTTCAGGTTGACAGAGGTAGGCTGGTGGATTCATTCTTAAGAAGTGGGGTCCCAGGTACTTAAATATTGTTAGACCCTTCAAAGAACCCTAGAGTATGACAAGAGATGACTGACTGATAGAAACAAATGGTGATAATCATAAAACTATTAATAATCTAAAATACTTAAATATTCAGCCCTTGTCCTGCCTCAGCCTACCCATCCCCCAATGAAGAAAAGTCCCTCCTTTATTTGGTTTAGTTTTGCAGAACAGAATTAAGAAAATTGAACATGCCTTCCCTCAATACATGATGAGGATTTGGGGGAAGGTGGTACATACTTCAGTCATGCTGAGGAACGGGGGGATGGCAAACTAAACATTTGTTTCAAAGAATCCATAAAGCAGTTTAAGAAGACATCAAAGAATCTGTCTAGTCAAGGAAATAGTTAGTTAGTTGTCTGCATGTGTGTCTACTCCACTAGACTGTAAGCTCCTTGAGAGCAGAGACTGTATCTTATTCATTTTTCTATGCCCCACAGCCTAGCCCAGTGCTTGCTGTTCAATAAATGGCTGCTAAATAACCACAGGTGTGAGTAGTTTATCCTTAAGACAGTCTCAGCAAAAAATCTGAGTCATGGGGAGGAGGTCAGAACTGCTGCAAAACCCCATCCAAGACTGTCCCTTACACACACACACATTCACTCTCAGAAGACACACCAGTACCTCTGCCAGCTGCAGCACCACAGTGTGATCCATATTGAGCTCAGCTGGAACAGACTGAATGAGGTACGTGCCGCCCACAGGGATGATGCTGAAGCCACTGCCGAGTGCCTTTAGTTTCTTGATGGCCCTGATCAGGTCGTCTCTGAGGTGAGGAAGAGCTGCTTAAAGACTCTTGGCAGACCAGACCTAGCAACAATGCAGTTTCAGCTCCGCCCTGGGCGACATACCCTCACAAGACTCAAATGGCTGCACGACACTCAACTACGTCAGTAAAAGGACAGGGTTAAAGAGCACCAAATGGTACTTGGGTATTCGAGGGAGATGGTAGAGGATTCAGGCTCTCCATTCCTAGAGAGCAAACCATTCCAACACCCATACAGAAGTACAAAAAAAATGCCTGTAGGAGCCTAGCAGGCAATGTGAAGGAGTGAGCTGAATGAAAGAGACAAAAGAGAATAGTGTAAACTGGCAAACTACACAATGCACGTCCATTCTAAAGGGAGCAACCCAGCCATTTGGAAATTCAGGGCGAGTACTGCCAAATTTTCTGATTTTTTCCAGAGGCTGAAAAGCTGGATTTTTAAATGAAATTCCGATTCCTTAGCTGACAACTTACTCAAATCAGAGTAAAAGAAAACACACAAAACACTGTGTAGACCATGT